TTTTGGAATAGTTTGTTTGCTAACATTACTATCTGTTTGTGTTTGGAGTATTATGTTATTAAAAAAACTATCAAAATCATGTACATCATTTTCGTCGATTATTACAAAGGGATCAGGCTCATTAGATGGATTATTATTTTCAAACCTTATATCATTGTCCATATCCCCTAAGAAGTTAATATATTGAGGCAATAAATTTAATTTTTCAATATTATCTTCCTGGTCATCATTTTTGTTTGTATTATTCTCAGCATCACTATCATCGTCTTCACTATCACAAAAGCTGACTTCTGAGTCACTTGGTATTTCAAAGTCCAAGAACAACTCAATTTCATCGTCTTTCAACTTCTCCATTTATTATTACTAAAATAAAAACAAATGTAATATTACCTAGGTAATAGTTTTTGTTAGTATAGTTGTAGGTACCAATTATGCACAGTTGTATCAAATGATACCGAGTATATTACCTAACAATAATAGATGTCAAAGATCAAAATTGACTCTTAACTGTACTCTTACGTGTACCTTATTCAAAAACAAACCTAAAAAATATTTTTTGATGTAGCTAAAATATTTTAACGATGAGATATAACAACAGTTTTGTCGGTATATTTTGCGTATTATCAATACAGTAGGTTATCACACATGTGACTAAAAATTCTCATATAGTCTGAACATAGGAACGAATATTATGAGACGGTTGTTATCAAGTGTATCATATGATATCTTTATGCACAAATGGATCAAAAATATTTAACAGCTGCTTTATAAGCGGTTAAAATTAGTTGCGGTATCATATGATACCTACATGCACGAAGAGGTAACAACCCATTATACAGTTACCAACCTTGTATATTCCAACTTATTATAGAGGAAAACTTGACGTCGGAAGAAAGTGACAACGAAAACTCCGATATCAGTGAGTCGGGAGATAACGATGAAAGTCAACAGGACCCAGAATCAATCACTATTAAACCGACTGCAATACTTGATTCAACCATTCCTAATACCAAAGGACCAGTAAATAAATTGAAGAAACAAATAAAAACTACACCGTCGTCTATGAAAGCTGACAGAAAATCAGAAGAAATTAACTACTTCTCATTCTCAAACACACATCATGTTAAAAGCGCCTCCAAAAAAAAGAATGCGAAGACTTTATTAAAAAAAATCACAAAACTATGACAGGTAAATAAGCTAATTGGACATTTTACAAATTTTATAAATATGACATTATATAATATTGATATTTTATTTATTGTTTTTCAGGTAAAGATTGGCGTAAAGTAAAAACTTTTGTCTACAACATTTACAAGAAATAAGAACTATTCAATTACGTAATATATAATTTTATATATTATTATTATTATTTTAAGTTTATTTAATACGGAGTTGAATTTTATTTTATTATAATTATAATTTAAAAAAGTACCATACTGTATAAGAAGCTGCAGTGGGTTGAACATTTATATTTTACCTTGTATTTTATAATATTCTGTATTAGATACTTTGATACTACTCCAATATAAAAATATTATAATTTTCATTGGTTTTTTATTGCATTAAAAATAAATAAAATTAGAAGTTAGATATAATTTGGTTACGTATGTTTCATTTCTAGAAACACTTAATTCCACAGAAACACAGACTGCGGATCCCGTGTACATCTACGTATGATCACGGGACTAAGATATTAGGTATTTATTTTGTTTTTATTATTATTTAAATTACAAATATAATTTAAGAATAAAACACGAAATTGTCGATCTTAGTTGAGAATAATCGCAGTAGTCGTGACATTACTGTTTTTTTGTAGCGCGCCAAGCTAACCTTTTTTTTTTTTTTTTTTACATGGTATCGGGACATGGGGTGGAACCGACGTTAGTCATTTCACCCCCATGCCCCATCATTTATTGGTAAATAAACAGTTATTTACATAATGTACATACGGGAATTAATTAAAACTGACAATTTGTTGAGGGCCTCTAACCCTCATGTTTTGGCCTTCGGCCTATAAAAATCATCTTAACTATGCAAAAAATAAGGTTTTTCCCTTAAGGGGGTGGGCCGCGTTGCCTTCTCCTCTCTTCGTCCTCTTTCTTCCTCATTACTTGTTGGATAAAGTTGCTTCCTATTGCCCAGTATTCCTTGCTCTTCATCATGAGAGGGATGAGGTTCTCTGGAGTCATGTTGGTCCCGAAGAGGGTGTTGGCTCTTGCTCTTCTGATCTCCCATGCATCACACACAAAGAGCGTGTGGTAGGCATCATCGTGTGGATGATTGCAGTACCAGCAGGCTGGTGATGCCAAGTTGCAGTACTTATGGAGGTATGAGGAGAAGCATCCATGACTGGTGAATGCCTGAGACAGGTGGTAATTGACTTCTCCATGCTTGCGGCTATGCCAGGTAGCGATGCATGGTATCAGTCGATGGGTCCACCTGCCCTTGGAGGTAGATAGGTCCCATCTCGATTGCCACTTCTCAACGGTGGTCGCCTTGCCTGGAGAGGGTGGCTGAGGGTTGTGCCTCTGGGTGTGCTTTTCGTATCGTTCTTCTGCCTGAAGGTCCACGGGAGGCATATCCGCTATGACCAACGCCGCGTCGAGTGAGACTGTGCGGTAGGCAGATGCCACTCTCAGGGCAGTTTTGCGTTGGACTTTAGCCATCTCATGTTTGCCCTTACTGCTCATTTTGTTTGCCCAGGTAGGTGCTCCAAATAGTAGCAGGGATTGTACTACGTTTGCCAGAAGTCTTCTTTTGCTTGGGGTGGCGGCGCTGATGTTAGGCATAATTTTCTGCTCAGGTTTTTGACTGCGTGGCTTGCTTTTTCAGAGGCAATTTTCGCATGGACGTTGAAATTCAGTTTACAGTCTATATGTATGCCAAGGTATTTCAGGACGTTGCGTCCGGTCACTACCTGACCACAAACGTTGATGGAGAGTTCATTGTGTAGCCTCTTTTTAGTGAGTACTATGGCTTCGGTTTTGTGTGGCGCAATTCTTAGGCCTGTTTCTTCTAGCCAAGTGTGAGCCAGCTCAGCTGCACGGGCGAGGTCGTTTTCCAAGGTGTATTGTTCTCTGGCAGAGGCTACTAGGGCAATGTCGTCTGCGAAGGCGATGGGGGTGATGGACGCGAGGAATCTGATGCGGAGCAGGCCGTCATATAAGATGTTCCATAGTGTGGGGCCGAGGACGGATCCTTGGGGCACACCACTTGTAAGTGCGAGTTCGGTACGGGTGCCGCTCACGTCTATGTTCACTGATCGGTTGGACAGATAGCTGCTTATCATGCGGCAGAGGTAGGTCGGGAAGTCCAAGCGGCGCATGGCGTCAATGATTTTCTCCCATGGAGCTGAGTTGAAGGCATTTTGGATGTCTAGTGTTAGAATGCCAGTCCTAACGTTTGGGCCACTTTCACTATCAGTAGTCATCAGGAGGTCGACTGCGTCGGTTGTTGACCTCCCAGCACGGAAGCCAAACTGGTTTTCGTGCAGGCAGACGTTCGCTTCGATGAATGTCCGCATGCGGTTGTCGATTATTTTCTCCAGGAGTTTCCCCATGCTGTCCAGTAAGCACAGAGGCCTGTAGGAAGAGGGCTCATGCAGTGGTTTGTCTCCCTTCCGAAGAAGCACAAGGCGGGCTTTCTTCCAGGAGGACGGGAAGTGACCGTCGCTGAGGCACTTATTGTAAGCCATAGTATTGTAGGCTTGATACTCGCAATGAGCTTTACCGCCTCGTTAGTTATGCCGTCTGGACCTGGGGACACCCTGTTTTTGAGGGAACGGGCAGCCAGCTGGACGTCCTCAGTGCTGATGGAGAAACTATGGAGTTCTTCGTCACTGATAGGGGGCCACGCGTCCAGAGTCCGTTGCGGGTGGACTGGGAACAGGGTGTTGACAATGGAGCGTACTCTCTCGGGACAGTTGAGTCCTGGAATTGGGGGTGATCTCGCGAGTTTCCCCATGACCAGCTTATACGGCGTTCCCCATGGGTCGCTTTCTATCTGGTCGCACAAGGATTTCCACGCGGCTGCTTTTGCTGCTTTGATTGCTTTGACTAATTGCAGTTTAGCGTCCTTTGCTGCGTTTTCTTCTTCGGTGGTGGCTGTTGGACCGAGACGTTTGCGTTTGCGCTGGTATACTCTACGCGCGTGGTTTGCCTTTTTGCGAAGATTGTCAATCTCGGGCGACCACCAGTAGACCGACTTCCTCCGGCTGCCGGCTGGAGCTTCCGTCATGCAGATCTCTTGTATTTTCTGTACAAGTTGGACAGCGCATTCGTCTGCGCTCTGGAGATTAGCGTTGAGAGGTGCAGTTCGGTCCGAGTTTAAAGCTAAAGATAGTTTTTTCAGGTCGACTCTCCACATGGTTCGGGTGGTGTCTTGGGGAGTTGGAGACGGGTCTTTTCTGAGGTGGAACTGGATATAATTGTGGTCGCTGAGGGATTCGATATCCAGGACGCACCAGCCATCCATCTTTGGCACGAGATCGGGAGAGCAAAATGTGACGTCTAGGATGGACTTGGAGCCGAAGGTGGGTTTATTTCCCAGGTTGCAGGTGACCAGTCCCGTGGCATGGATCATGTTGGAAAGGTCTTCACCACGTTGGTCGTTGGATGGGCATCCCCAGTCCGAGTGCTTGGCGTTAAAGTCGCCTGCCAGTACAATACTTCCTGGGGCGCTCCTGATGCTCCTCTCTAGCCGTGATAGGAAGGCTCTGTATTCGGAGAGGCTCGAGTTCGGTGACCAGTAGCAGGAGTAGAAGCAGGTGCTGTCCACAGATATCCATCTGAAGCCTTCTTCGCTAATGCCTGGGGTGTCAAGTTGTATCTGTTTGACATTGACGATAGCCGCTTTGTTTTGGTCGTCAAGGTGCCAGTTTGGTCCGTCTTGCTTGTTGGGTTATGAGATGATTATGATGTCCACTGATCTCTCAGCTGCTATTTGATGCATAAGGGCTTGAGCTGCTTTGCAGCAGTTCAGGTTTATCTGCAAGATATTGGTCATTGTTGCTGATTAGTGAGCGTACGGCTGCTGCTGGAGGCCGTCTCGCTGCGGTGTTTGGAATTTTTAAGAGAAGTGCATTTGTTGCTTCCGGGGAAATGGTCCACGGGAGCACCTAGGTCTGCGCAGGAGATGAACATGGGAGGGTTACTGCAGTCTGCCGCTCTGTGCCCGGCTTTCGAACAGCGGCTGCAGGCCTCGGTGCGGTCCGCACCAGTGCATTTGGACCTTGTGTGGCCAAAACCCAGGCATCCAAAACACCTGGTCGGTTTCTCTAGGAGGCGGACTGTTGCCCATACTAGTAGTATTTTGACGCGTCCTCCTTTGGCAATTTTGATGGCGTCGACGCTTCTCATGGAGACAGTCGCTCTCCTTATGCCGCCAGGGGCAGGTCTGACGTTTCGGATTCTGACTGAGTCATCGTTTGGTGGGAGTGCCGCGGCGTCCTTGAGGGCTTCAGTGATCTCGGCTTCAGTAGTGACCCCGTCCAGCCGAGTAATGTCCAGGTTGTCATGCCTGACTAGACCGCGTACAGAGGCACGTGTCCCTAAGGCGTTTCTGATGGCTGACTCGAGATCAGACCTCTTACTTTCCCCTCGAGTCACTCTGATGAGCACTTCGCCTTTGCTGCTTTCTGCGATGGAGGTAATGTGGGCACCTGTCTTTTCCACGTCCACGTCTTTCCTGACCGACCTAAGAATGTCGGCGAATGTTTCGCCTTCGTTGGGTTTGACGGCTATTGCGTCAGGGGGAGGAGGTCTTCCGCGTTTCCTGGAGGTTTTGCCATCTGCAGCCCGTGGAACTCTTTCAGGGTTTTTGTTTTGATTTTTTCTTTTGCGCTCTACGGCCACCCAGGGCTCGACAGGGGTGTTGTCGGGGTGAGGCTTGAAGTTGGTAGGGGCCCGGGAGAGGACACTTGGCATCTTGTTGGAAGATCCTTGTGTTCCGTCCGCAGAGCTAGGGGCTCGTTGTGCGGGCCTGTGTGCGTTGGCCTGAGCAGGATACGTGGGCCCAGCCTGTGCGCTCTGAAGTGCGTTAATCTCCTCCTGTTGCTGAGATAAGCACGTCTTTAACTCGTCGCAAATCTTAAGAATGGCTTCCTGGTTTTGAAGACTGGCTGCATTCTGGTTGGTAGGAGCACTGCCCCCCAGGCTCGCTATGGCGGCTTTCTCTGCCTCATAAAACGCACCGTGAAGTGCGTTTCTGTTTGGGACGAGAGCCTCCACCGCCCCCACGACCAGCTCGATGGCGTCTTTTAATATTGGGGATTTGGATCTCTCTTGCGCCATCTTTAACGAGTCAATGCTAGTAAGGACAGCGTTAATGAGCTTGTGCTGCTGCTTGATTGTTTGCTTCAGGCAAGACATGGACAAGGTGAGCTCCGGCACTTTCGCTTTGGGCTTGCTAGCTGCGAGCTTGTCGTGCAGGCTTGGGGGTCCGCTTGACTTTGGGTCAGAGGACGTTGAGGCAGCGCTAGTCTGATTTGCTCCGGTCAGATTGAGCTTTTGGCTTGGTTGTGGATTGATTGATGAATGGCCCCCCCCCAGAATCCGTGGGGCCTGTCACCTGGGGTACAATTTTCATTTTGTTTTGTTTCCATCTTTCAAACGGCTAGTAATCCACGGGTCGCCGCTTCCGTGGATGGTCGGTGCCTTGGCGGGGGTTTACCGGGCCCCCGTTGCGTTGTGTCCGGTCTGTTGAGTCCTGATCGTGCTGCTTCTCTAGAGTTGATCGCTTTCTGGAGAGACTGTTGAGGTCAGTTCTAGCCTGGTTTTTCTGTCGGGGATTTCCTTCCCTTAGGGCTTTGCTCGTCCGGGAGCATTCTACCTCCGACCTTGCCGGCCCCAGCTGGTTAAAGTCAGGGCCGGTTCAGAGCCTTTGCAGGTGTGTGCATGCTGGCTCCGAGCCTGCCGATCCCTACCAGTGAAGGTAAGAACCGGCTCTCTGTGCTCCGACTACAACTGGTTAAGGTCGCAGCCGGGTATGGGACCGCTTGGTAAAGCCATTTAAGGCCCGCAAGCTCCCCCACCGCGTCAAGGTAACCTAACCTAACCTACCAGCTACTCCCTCAAAAACACTGTTAACGCTATTATTTATTTTTTTTTTTAATGTTCTTATTGAAAATTGGTAGTTTAGTATTTTAACTATCACCAAATAGGTCGAAGGTAGCAACAAAATAATGGTAATTTTCGCTGCGCTAACAGAACATTTCTAGTGCGCTAAAGTACTTTGCTACATTTATAGGTATTTACTATTTAGATGTATTGTGTAATTGTGTATACATTGAAGCTACACTACAATTAGCGTAGTACTCCCGCTACTCGGGAGACCACTGAAAATAATACAAGTAAATAATGGCAACGTTGCACGGACCTCGTAAAGTCGATACATTAAAATCATATACATAAAAGGATCTCTTATATTCGATTAGATATGGTGTTTAATTAAACATATATTGGATCTCACAAAGTCTACTACATTATAATTTTTAACACGAGGATGTTGGTGTATATAATAAGTAGGGTATATCCAAATATATACATAAAATTGTATGTCTTGGTCCCATAAGAAAATACCTATTTAAATTCGTCACAACGTCACCATTTACAAGTGGATCTCGCAGAGTACCACAAGTCTGTATGTATGTTTAGTTGGTTTATACTACAATTACAAAGATTTTTTTTCTATTGTACTTTTGGCAATGGTTGATGTCGTGATTGTTGATATCGGTTCCTACGGAAAGGAAGGAGACAGTAGTATTTTGCTTAAATCTGACATAGGGCAGCGAATTTCAAACGGATCATTTGGATTTCCAGAAGAAAGCTTTCTCCCCGGTTCTAATATTGTAGTTCCACACGTAATTGTAGGTGACGAAGCGTTTCGTTTACACACACATATAATGAAGCCATATTCTAAAAAATCAAGTAGAGAAGATGTATCAAAAAAAAACATTTAATTATACACTAAGCCGAGCAAGGCGTGTCACCGAAAATGCGTTTGGGTTGTTAAGTCAAGTGTTTCGAGTTTTTTATCAGCCTATAAATGTTAAAACTACAACATGTGATAATTTAATATGGGTGTCATGTTGTTTACATAATATGTTGAGAGACGGATACTTGGAAAAAAATAATAAACCATTTTATGAATATGACTGTGAACAAACTGCACCAATCAACAATATGTTGGAAATCAGTGCAGGAGGTGGATTTTCTAACATGGAAGGATTCAAGGTGAGAGATAAATTTAAACATTTTTTCAACATCTAAGGTGCATTAAACTGGTAGATGTTTACATATTTTTAGTGAAAAATAATATTTAAATACTGTTTGATAAAAAAATTGTCCCTTGTATTTTACTAGGTATCAAATAAATATTACATAAATTATTACATGAAAAATGTATTAATTACTTTAACATGTATTTTTTAAAATTTTTGTAGTCTACTCAACATATTTTTTGTAAGAACTAAATTCATTAAATAAAAAAAATATTATGAATATGTGCTTTTTAAATACATAGTTTAAATTACAACTATTTGTATCTTAGTTTTACCTTATATCAAGTTGTCGAAAGGTGCTAATGAAAATGAAGAAGTATTTGCAATTGATGTTTGAAATAAGTCAGGTGAAGCGGAGGGCGTGACTTGAGTATGTGGCATATTGTATGATATTGGTGACGGTGTACTTTGAGTATCTGTCATCAAGTATGATATTGCAGGTGACGGCGTACCAGAATTAGAAAACTCTTGGTTATAATTTGGTTGAATTGGGTAGAAAGCTGGTATTGTTTGATGTGAATGATCACCTTATTTGTCTTCAAGTTCTTTCAATGTCAGCGTTTGGGAAACCAGTCAATATAAAATACATATAAACAGTGGGAGAGAGACCGTCGACCGCGACCGGTCGCGTCTAGGAAACCGTACCTTTAAAACTATAAAAAAAACGCTCTAGTCACATCGCCGAAATTGTCTCCACCCGATTACAGCAAAACGTTGTGTCTCCAAACCGATGCAAGCGAAATAGGAGCTGGTGCAGTAATTTTCCAACGGGGTGACAAACCGGAGGAAAGACGCATAATATTCGAAGGAAAACTCGGCACTAACGTGCTTATACACGGCCAAAGACAAAAACTCAAAATTAACACGCTTTTCACTACAACTAGCTAATTTAGATTTTAGTACGGTACACGTCCCGGGAATACAAAACGAAGCACCGGATTTGTTATCCCGCGGCCCAGATCGGGGGCACCCGTAGACGAAGATCGACTTGAGGAAAAATTGGTAAGGGCACCCGCAATTATTTGTTTTTTATGTTATCATACACTATTTTATCAAACATATTCAAATTAAATGTTTCATCAAGTAATTCCATTGGCATATTTTGTATATCAAAATTCAAAAATTCGTCAACATTAGATTGAATTTGCTCACCATAGGTGTTTCAGCTCTATTACACTCTTCTATTAGAAGTCTTATTTTGTCATTATCTGTTAATAGTGTATCTTGTAGAATAAATTTGATGACATGCTTTGCTATAAAAAACTGATCAATTGTTGGTTTAGGTAATACATAAGATTTTAATTCATTGTTTTAAATTGAGGAAACGTCAGATGAACTAAATTATCTGTTTGGAATGCATTTATCATAGTCGACCGCATTGTCATCAAAAGGATAAAGACCACATGCTTTAAATCCATTTTGGATGACTTCAATAGTTATTTTGTCAAATGCTTCCTTAAATATTGTAGCAAAATTAAATTTATTTATTGTTATTGAATCAGACTGTTTATATTTATGAACAACTTTTTTCCAGTGTAATTTTAATGGCTTAAAAATAGAGACATCGCATGGCTGTAAAATATGTGTATCGTTTGGAGGTAAACAATACAAATGTATTTGTTTATCAGCACAAAATTCAGATAAATCCAAGCTTAAATTACTACTGTGGCCATCCAAAAATAATAACACGGGGAATGTAACCTTTTTTTCGACCAAACTAGGATATAAAGAATTTGCAATATATTCAAAAAAAGTTGAAGAAATCATCCATCCACTATCAGATCGACCAAACACCCAACTGTCGGGTAAATTATTTACAACTGGAGCAGGTATACGTTTGTAGGTATAAACAACCATTGGAGGAAATGATGTACCATCAGCTGAAAAGGAACATAAAACAGTAGTACATTCTTTTTCTGGACGATTTGCAATCTCATAGAAGTTTGGCATTTGCTTTAGACACAATACTTTGCCCGTTTTCGCAAGTATTCATCCCAGATTCATCACAATTTAAAATGCGTCTACTATCATCCAATATATCTAAACAGTTTCATTTATTAAAAAAAATTTCACACCAGCAAACCAAACTTTTGATACAACTTCAGCGTTTCTTTTTCCAATTTCTTTGTGGCGATTTAAAAATAAATTTAACCATTTAATACCTGGCCTACAATTAATAAAAGGTGTCTCACGGGTGCATAGTTTGAATACATTTTGTACAGAGTCTCTAACATCATCAGGCCTGACTGGAAAACCAACTGCTGCCTTGGCTAGAATCCAATTTTTAATTCGAATTTCTTCCTCATTTGATAAATATATTTTAGGCCCCATTATTCTTCCCAGTGGAACTTTTTACTTAATTTATTAGATAAAGTACCTTTAGGAATATTGAAACTAGTACTGGTTTTACACAAAGACATTTATTTTTGTTGAACTGCTATCATGGCCTTTTTTAAGTCTTCTTCACTGTACTTGTGTTTTTCATGTTTTCGTATTTTTATTTCTTCCATTTTCTAAGTATTATATGCTAAGTAAAAAATAGTTATAAATATTAATTTAAAGTATACTTTTTTTATTGATAATGTTCATTCACTAGAATTTACATTGAAACACCAGTAAATGAACAAACAATAAAAACCTGTTCATTTATTGGTATAATTAATTTAAAACAACAATGTAATTTATAAATAATTTTTGTAAAAGCATTATGTATTTAATTTTGTAAATTTTAAGCAAAACAATTATTTTTACTTTTCCAGTGAATGAACACAGTGTTCATTTAATAGATTTGTAGTACTTTTCTAATCCAGTACATGAACACCAAGATATCAGGGTTAAATAAGCATTTTAGATTACAAAAAATGACAAATTCATGTTCTTGAGCATTTAAACATTAATATTAATATATATTTACCTTTGAACACTAATGGTTGGAACTATAAAATCTTAATCTGTACACTGGTATTTTTCAAAAAATAAAACATTTGATGTCATTTACAGTGCCGTAACTAGAGAGTCAAAGGCCCAGGTGCAAACAAAATGCATGGGCCCCTCTTTCTAGAGATACATAAAAAAAACTTGTAAAATAAACTACATAGATAGATAAAATAAATAAATTACAAAAAAAAAATAATAATTTTAGTTTTCATGACAACAGTTTTCATTATAACACTAGAAATAAAAATAAAAATAATTATAACTATCATTATATTATAATAATATACCTATTGGCTATTACATATTTTATAATGTTTAATTATTAAAAAAACATTTTCTTCCGAGCTTTTGCATTTGCAAAATCAGCAATAACCTTTTTGATATTAATTTCATCAGTACGACCTCTTTCAATACTTAATACTGATATATTACGTCTTAATCTTTCTTGGGAAGTAGAATTTCTCAAGTAATTTTGAATAGCTGGACTTAGATATTTAATGTGGCCATCTTTTTTATCAAGAAGTGTTCTTAAAAGTGGGTCAAATTCTGCAAATAGTTTTACTGTTCTAAGAAAATTTCCCTCGCATTTTTAGCCGATACGTATATGATAGGGAATGGTAAACAAGCCGACCCCGCGTAGCGTCTCCAGCACGATTTAAGATAGTACAAACAATTTGTTAGTGTGTGTGTTAGTAGCGGTATCGCGATATCACGTATAATAATCAACAAATCTATTTATGTTACTCTTGGCTTAGTAAATTTCCCAATATTTTGATTAACAATTCCAAGTAACGGACCAGGCTATTAGTTTTTACATTGCCGTTTATGAAATTAAATACAAGATAATGAATTAAATTAAAAAAAAAAAATGACATCTATCCGACCAAGGCCCCAAGGGCCCTTTGACCCTGCGGGCCCCAGTGCTGTGCACCGCCTGCACCTATGATTTTTACGGCACTGGTCATTTATGCCCTTATCTACACATGACTATACTCCGGCCCACGAGAGAGTATTACCGTTTTGCGCATGCAGACTGACGGCGGAGACCGTTCCGAGGCCCCATTTCCCCCACTATTTCCACGACCGCTATACACCGTATAGCGTTGAGCGCTGCCGACCGGTACCGAACAGTTGTCGGCACATGCCGAGTAGTGGGGAATGCGCGGAATCGGACGAGTTTTCGTCCGGCGACGGTAATACTCTCTCGTGGGCCGGAGTATAGTAAACATCATTATTATCAATAAACCAAATTATTATCAAATATTAATATTTACAGTGTCACCAAAACTAATATTTCTAGTAATTAGTAAAATGGACGACATTTTTGAAATAATTGATTTTGTGCAATTTATAAATGAAGATGAAGATCGTATAGTTAGAAGGTACATTAGAGACCATGAAAATCCTATGGAATTTTTTACTTCAATGGAATTTTACAAAAGATATAGGTACGTACTTACTTTGATAAATAACTTACATAACTTACAACTACTAATCTATATTATACATTTTTCCAAAAAACGTATCAAGTTTAAACGTAAATCATTAATGATTTTTTTTTAATTTAGATTTTCTAAGGAAATTGTAAGGGATGTAATAATGCAGTTAATTACAATAAATCATGAAAATAACCGCGGTTTACCCATACCTCCAATCATTCAGCTCCTAACAACATTGCGATTTTACGCAAGTTCGAATTTTCAAGTAATATTCTCCTATTCCTTTTTATCATACTAATTTATTCTAATATAATATATACTTTAGATGGTAAATGGTGATTAAGAGGAGTTAATCAAGGAACAGTATCTAGAATAATTAAGAGAGTATCTACAATGATATCAAGCAATTTGAAACACCATGTATATTTTCCCAGGAATTCAGATGATTGGAAGGTTATACAAGATAAATTTTACAAAATGTATAACATGCCTGGGATAGGTGGATGTATCGATTGTACACACATTAAAATCCAAAATCCTGGAGGCCCAGATTCAGAAGCTTTTAGGAACAGAAAAGGTTACTTTTCTTTAAATGTTCAGGTATGCAGCAAATAATGATATTAAAATCATAAATACAGAAAAAGTTGACAATTATTGTTATTTAAAATTTATAATGTGTAGGTGGTTTGTGGGCCATCAATGGAATTTTTTGATGTAGTTATTAGATGGCCTGGTAGTTACCATGACAGCTTCATATTTAGCGGTAGCTATGCGAATCAATATTTTGCAGACCCTACACATAACGTGATATTACTTGGAGATGGTGGTATGTATTTTTATAAAATGTTATACTTAGGTTTAGTAATGTTTAGTGCAACGCTCTAATATCTGAATTTTTATTTTATAATAAATTATTTTAGATTATTTATTAATTTTTTTTTTTTTAAATGTATATTTATTTACAGGTTATGCATGTAAACCTTACTTGTTTACACCTCTAAGAAATCCCATAACACCAGCAGAGCAAAAGTATAATAAGTCACATATTAGAACTAGAAATATAATTGAAAGAGCATTTGGTCTTTGGAAAAGAAAATTCCCATGCCTTAGAAGAGGTCTTGCTAATGCACCTAATACAATAGTCAATATTATTCTTTCTTGCGCATTGCTTTATAATTTGTCTCGGCAGTTCAATCAAAATAATACAGACAGTGACGACCAAGAAGATCACCTAGAAGAGGAAGAACACCATGAAATGATTAAAGAAATTGACAATAATGTATTAGGACACATAGCAAGACGTGCTTTCATTATAAGACATTTTAGTTAAAAAAAATTACAAAAAAATAAATCAATTTCTTGTAATTAATAATAAACAATTAATAAAAGCTTACAGAATTGTTGTTAAATTTAAGTAAAAAAAAATAACAAAAAATAAATCAATTCTTATCTTGTAAACAAAACAAATAATAACAGCTTACTAGCTAACAGTCTTCTTTCATAAAACATCATAAATACAAATTATCAAGTACAATTTGATATGATTACATTTTTAAAAATTATCTTTTATTTTTTTTTATTTCTAATGCAAGTTTTTCACACTGCAATTTATACAATTTGTTTTCTTCAAGTCGCTTAGCAACTATTGATTGCATAATAAGTTTCTGGTTTAATAGCTAAAATTAACAGTACACGTTAACACAGTTACGAAGTATAAAATATATTTTATATATTATATTACAATAACTATCACATTTATTTATTACATTTATTGTCCACAAATTATTTTTTAAATATACAGTCCACTAACTACTATTTTTTGTTATTTATGGTAAAGTCAGTTGTCTAAGACTGCCAACTTCTTTAAACAAATATATAGTAATATTATAGGCTGACAAACCGTCTCCGTTCAGAATCGTTTTTAGTACACAATGACATTATATTACTGGATTATAATTTAAGGCTTTCTATTACAGTAACCAAACACTACATAAATCAAGTTACATACATCAATTGTCTGCACACAATTTAAACTATTGCTTGTATTAAATATGTTCAGTTTTTAAAATAATTATTAAATATTTAATTAATACACTACCTACATACATAGTTAGAAGAAGACTAAATTCATAAAACAAACAAATACAATGACATTACACTACCTGTAGCTTATTCATACTTTCTTCATGGTCAAGTGCTATTTTTTGTCTTTTGATTCTTACTTCACATTCTTTTAAAATGCTATCAGTTTTTGACTTATTACCAGATTTTCTTTCAGATTGTTTCAGATTGTTTTCTATGAAAAAAGTTCAGAAAACATTAATTTCAACATTTAGAAATAAAAACAATGTATTTATAGAGCATCATTATAACAGCTGAAAGTAATTTTAGTTCACATGATTACCAGTGGGCTCTACAGGGAGTTGATTAGTTTCATTGGCGGCATTTGTATTTATCACAATAAAATGTGTTGCATCTAGATTTAAAATTATTAACATAATATACAAAACAAATATGACTGTAAATTAATTATAAATTAATAGGTACCCAATTCCTGCTGTATCAAAGGACTATTAATCGGAGACTTCTCAATGTTACATGGAGTGTCGCCTAAAGAAATTAAAAACATTTTAATAGATAAAGTTAATTTATATATCTGCAAGTACTGAAATAATGTTACCTACTTAAATTATCTTACTTACTGCTGTTTGAATTTGCAAATGCTACACCATCACTATCAAAATTATTTTGCCATTCAACAATGTGTGGTCTACCAATCATTTCTTCAACTTCAGGATTTTGAACTTCATGTGATGTTTCAAGGGATCCACCCCCAGTTTTTAATCTATTCGACCTTTCTGAAGTGAATGCTTTTCTTGACTTAGCTTTTTCCGCTTCCCATAATTTTTTTAAGCTTTTCACTTCTCTCTTAAAACATTAATAATAACAATTTAAAATACAACTTATATAATTCCATTAGTGTATAATATATTATATGTATATGTTACAGTTGAAGTGTTGAATTCCATTATTTTATAAAATAGGTACCTATGTAGTTTAGGAATTACCTACAAATTGTGTTGGGCTGAGTCATATCCGATTTATTATTATATTATTAGTTATTTCATAAGCTGCAGATTCAACTCAACTGTAACATAGGTGATAGGTATATTAAATTACTTAATTACCTTTTGAACTTTTGCATAAGAATTAAAATCATTTGCAATATGTTGCCAAGCTTCGTTTTTTTTTCAGATTAGTATTACAATCTTTTCTCGGATCTTCTATTGTTGATTTTAATTTCTTTAAACAATGAAAAAAAATTTCCTTCTCTTCATTGTCCCAATTTGGACAGCGTTCTCTCTTAATCTTATTCATACTAATATAAATACTATTATATAAATTAAATGTATTTCAATTTAAACTATAAATTGTAAATGATTATTAACTTATAAAACACTAAACATGAGACATGACTACATAACTACATAAGTATGAAAAAAAAACTTTTATAATATACTAGGTAATATATTGATAACATTTTTTAATTATCAATGATCATCTATAAATTCATGGAAAAATAAATAAATTTAATCATTAGTCCTTAAACAATTACTTAGCTACGGTACCCTAAAATTCTAATTATGCATATGGAAATTAAGAGTTAGCTAAGTACTGGCTAAGTACTGGCTAAGTGTCCTGTAGCTAGGTAACACCTAAGCAGTTTTAGGTGACCCATAACGCACTAACTATGCATACGGCCGGAGTGTTCATTAACTGGTGTCGTTACCCAAGTGTTACCTAAGTGTTCTTTCTAAGAGTTCTTTTTTTTTTTTAGTTTTTATATTTTAGAATTTAAATGGTCCATCTAGGCTGTTGATTTTAATGTACGTTTCTGTTTGTACTTCTTTTACTTTTGAAATGACGGAATATATATTGGGGTGAGTGGAATTAAAACTTGAATTAAAATGCTCATGAAATGATTCACATGCATTTGTTGTTAAGTACGTTTCAACTGATGCACTGGCCCATATTTCAGGAGGAAACATAGAATCTGACACCTGACAGTTTCGAGCCGAGTTAACAATCGATTTATTTTACCACCTGAAATTTCCGGGCCGAGATTACAATCTACCTATTTATATTACCTAAAATTGTCGGGCCGAGTTTACATCTACCTATTTTTATTACCTAAAATTCTCGGGCCGAGTTTACAACAAAAAAGGTAACTGTTTAGCCCAGTTACCAGTTTACATTTGCCCGAAATAGGATCTTGCATTTTGTATTTGTAAAAAAAAATTGTTTCAACAAAACATTTAATTATGTACTCCGATCAGTGTGGTGGCCAAAACCGAAATATTAAATTATCTCTTTTATGTCAATATATTGTTTCTAGTCCTGAATACATGGTTAAAAATATTGATCATACATTTTTGGGTAAGTGGACTTGCCGTGTGATCAAGACTTTGGTCTTGTTGAAAAACAAAAAAAGTTGTTTCCAAACATTTTTATTCCAGAACACTGGAATAACGTTATTTTGGTGGCAAGTAAAAAAAACTATTCAAAATCATTTGTATGAATGAAAGCGATTTTTTTTCGACAATAAAATTGGAAAAAAATATTACACACCGCAAAATCGATGTTGATAAATTTAAAGTTAAGTGGTTAAAGATACAATGGTTGAGATTTTCTTTCGAAATGCCTTTCAAAATATTTTTAAAATACTCCGTACTCGAACAATGATATTGCTCAATTTAGTGAACTTGATTTAGAAAAACGAAACACCACACTAATCGCAAATTTAGATTTACTTTACCCTAATGGAAACTGTATAAATCCGCTGAAAAAGAAAGATTTGTTATGTTTACTAGATTATATTCCTCCAATTTACCAAGAGTTTAATAAAAGCCTTAAGACCAAAGCTCGAAATATTGATAATTAAAATCCATTAATAGATTAAGTGATGATGAATAAAATAAAGTTTTGGTAACTTAAAATATTAATGTTTACTTATTAAATTTTTAAATTGTATTTGTTAAATTTATGAATTTATGATTATATAAAGAAAAATTTTGTTTTGTTTTTATTTTATTTTTTTATAAAATATTAAAACAGTAGTATTATAATATAAGGAAACATTTTGTTTTATTTTTTTTTGTAAAATGTTGAATAAGAATTATTAATATTAACATTTATAATATGTATAATGTCTTATGGTAATGTATTGTTAATTTAGTTTTGAAACATTTTTTTTTTAACATTAAACGTTGTACAATATTCTTATATGATTTATATTAGTAGGTACATGACCAACAATTTATAAATAAATGGACTAACGCTCATTACAATTAAAAAAGACGATTTAAAAATGGACTAATCCACATTTAATCAAATATGGCTTTGATTTACAAAATAACGAATTCAGCAATCATAAAAACTCCTTTAATCAAAATAAATATGCAAAAAACAAAAACTATTACGTTCTTGGTTTTTAAAAAAAAATTATAGATAAATATTGCATTTTATGTTTTTGCCTACAACTCAATATGATTAACTATGGGTTAGTCCGTTATTGCGCTGAAGGCCTCATATAATATAGCTAGGTTCATCGGTTTTGTGTTTTTATTTTTGTAGGTACCTATCATATCATAATATGTTTTTTTAACTTTTATAATTTACTACAGCATACTTTTATAAGAATATTATAAATAATGTTTCTATTTGCATAAATGACTCTTCATTGATCGGACATTCTATATTATTCTGTAAATCATTTGATGATTCAATATATCTTATGTCATTTGATGTATTCTCCAATATTTGAACATCTTTATCAATATTTTGTATATCTTCTGATTTAGATGCGATTGATACATTTTCTTTTAATCCAAAAAAAAATGTTGGTCTATTGCATTTAATACTTCCTAAAGCTAACATAGCAAGTGCATAGCGTTCTTCTGATGTGAAAGCTGGTGCGTTTGGAAGTTGTGATTTTATGTACCCATGCTTGGTGTTTACAAATGATCCTGTATGTCCCATTTCACATGTACAAACTCCATTATCAATAGGTATTAACTAAATATGTCTCACTTATATTGCTTATACTAGGAATAACATAGGTGGATTCATTAATATTTTTTTATATCCCTAATATTAATATCAATCATTTTAGAACATAATTTTGTATATAATATTGGATTTCTAACTGTCTACCAATGATTTTATAAAGTCATTTCCTTATATAATTCATACATTAGAAAAAATATGCAAGTGGAATGCTATAACTTCAACTGATGCCAACATTTTAATGAAAGCAATGGACTCAGAATTTTTAATTTCACTCAAAGTTATTAGCTATAATGAACATTATTTTTGTTTCATTAGCTTTTATTTTCATATGGTTTACTATTATGTAAACTTTTGAAAAAAGCCAATCATGACTTAAAAGAAGCAGTTAGATCTTTCTGAAGTTACTGTTGCTACCATTCAACGTTTACGTGGAAATATAACTAAAGAGTTAAAACAATTGTTTAAAGAAGTCAAAAATAATGAAATATATTATATAATATATTTTTAATTTCATTAATGAAATTAATATTACTATAGAAAATGGCTAATATATTGGATATACCATATCAATAAAACGTTTGAGTAAAAAATGCACAAACCCTTATTTTAATGACCCTGAAGACTATTATAGAGTTACAATAGCTATAGACCATACATTAATTCATTTATACAACTGTTAAATGAGCGATTTTTATGTCACAAAAATGTACTTAAGGGTTAGTACCTATCTAAATTAATGTTTTATTGATATACAATACCTATACAGCTATACATATACTAATTTTGGAAAATTGTTTATAGGATTTCAATGTTGGTTTTTTGGAACATATTTAGATGATTTTGATGAACTTCTTCAATTGTATCTTGACACTGACAAACAAATTGTTAAAGCAGAGTTAAACTTATGGCATGCAGTACTTAAAAACAATGGACAACACCCTAAAAGTCGATCTAGAACATCTTGGCGTAGCCGTATCGGCGTGGCCACTTTGTCGTAAACCAATTTGGCGTATGGCTATTTTGGCGTTAAGTTTTGGACTAATATGACTAGTACCTATGCCAGTAGTTGTCTGTGCAAGTAATATAATAATATAATAACCATGTATAGGCGGAGTAAAAATCAATTGATATAAATGCAGTCCCTAAAATTGTGTGTAGTACGAAAAGTGCAGTGTGTAATACGAAATTTAAAAGTGTGTTATTCTAATTAAACCTTTATAATAATATTATGTAAAATTTTATATATTCACATTTTTTTTGAATATTTTAATGGTTTTTTTTCCAAACCATATTTTAATTATTATCTACTACACAGACACGCAGTAAACAATATTTTGTGTTGTTACGTCTTATACTCTTATTATATAGTTATTATTATTAATTGTTATTAAGAGTAGCTATTTTTATTATTATCAGCTTAGTAGTGAACGGTGGTATATAATATACTAGTGTTTGTTCAGAAATAATTTAGATTTGACCGATTTGGGACTATGTGTGTAGTACGAAAATTTGGATATTTTAGGTAGGTACTGTATAAATGTATTAATAAAAAGTTATTGACTTTAGGTTAGGTTAGTTTATATAAATAAAAAATATAAATATAAATGTATATAAATAAAAAGTAATAGACTTGTGTAGTTAGTTCATATAATAAAAAAATATTTAAAAAAAAATAGAATTTTGTAACAACTTATATTTTGAGCTATACCTCTTAAAAATCATTTAGAATCTTTAAAACCTATAATATTTTCCATATTATTATTTAAATAATTATTAATTAAAGCATATGTAGTATATACATACATTTATTGAATAGTAAAAATATTTTTACCTTAGACGTTTCAGTTGACGTATGAATACGACAAGGACAATCATTTTTGCATCGGCATCTCCAAAATTGTTTTGTTTTATTAAAAAAATGTTTGATGTTAAGTGTTTAGTAAATGTTATGCGTAATTATGTAATATAAATGTAAATTATAAGTATATAACATGATCATTGAATATAATTCAAAAATTAATGACCAGTGGGCAGTGACCACCCACCAGCTACCACTACCATAATGTGCTGGACTCTTAGATATAAAGTAGGTACTTTATAGTTTCTATCTATAATAACTAGGCTTCAATGTTACTGTAACAGTGGCGGTTTTGGGGGTGAGGCAAGTGAGGCGCCGCCTAACCTACAATTTTAAGTAAAAAATACTATTAAAGTATAATTTTTGGCCCACCAATATCATATACATATTTCGATAATAATTTTTAACGTTTTTATGATTTTATTTGAGAAAAAAATCTTCTTTGTAAAGTTTAACAATATGAATTATCATTTATTATATTGTAAATGGTAAATCATATTATCATTTAGTATTTATTACCAAAAATAGTGATAAACCGATAAGAAATGTATGAAATAATTATTACGTAAACAAACGCTGGTGTTTCAACCGGCGGCAATGTTCCGATGACATCAGTAGGCACTAGGCACCGTTCAACTCCGCGACTCCGCCTCAGAGTATGTACTATTGTGTACATGAATTACACACACAAGCGTATGTACGCGAATGCACGCGACTATTAAATAACTAGAGTTGCGCATGCGCAATGATCATTGTGAGGCTCGACTAACATCGCCTTATGTACTAAAAATAGACTCGGTATACAGGAATATATAGTCAGCCGGCATTTCAACGTAAAAACACATTATCACTTATCAGTAAAGTTATTGTTACAATCGAGACTCGGGACAGTCCTAATTAAACCGTTGTCCGTTGTAATATCTATTGATTATAATTTTATATTTGTCATTAGTCATTTCTGTCTTGACGTCTTGTACGAATAGTCACTTGTGTAGTTGTGTCTTACACTTTTTCGGTGGTTCCGGTTTGTCTACTTTAAAATATATGTGCGAGTGCTGCAGTTTTTTGTAATAAACATTATTAAATTAATTACTGTTGGAGTTATGACGTATCCAGTGACAGACGTGGTAGTTATGTTGTTGGAGACGCCGTTTCGACGATGGCATTCTGATGGTAAAAATGATTTGCTAAAAGTGGGTAAGCCTATTCCGATTTTGTCAGCTTTGGCTCCTGACAAGAAACTAAGTATGGTATTCTGTAGGTCATTTAATCCAAATTTATATCAACAACACTCTTGGTTATGTGGGAGTCATTATATACAAAAATTGTTTTGTTGGCCTACTCAAAAGGTCCTTTTCAGAACTACCAAATTTTAAAATGCTCTGTTTATTACCTATCTATCACTTACTATATTAATTACTATACGAAACAAGTATATTATTAGCATTCATACAATTATAATTATTTGTATGTTTTTAAATTACATTTATTGTGAATTCTAATTTTGTATGGTGGGGGGGGGGGGGTTGATACATAGGTTGCCTCACCGAAAAAATACTACCAGAACCGCCACTGTACTGTAATCATGTCAATCAAGATTCATGACAGTTATTCATCCAGCAAGTAAATTATATTACCTACTCAAGTATTCTTAAAAAAAAACCTTACAGAGTACAGACAATTCAAAAGAACATGAAACCATTTTTAATGCATTGTATGCCAAGCAATTTAATGAGTGTTTATACAGTAATGTTGAACCGTGACAATGTTGTATAATACACAAGTGGCCTAAACTTAAAGAGATGTTTTTCAAAAATATCTCATGAAAATTTTAAAGAATACCATCTACCTAGATGATGAAGTGCTATAATAAAGGTATACTATTTTTTTTTTACATATTATTAATAATAATTACCTAAATTATTGTATTTTAATGTCATAGGTGGTTTTATAAACTATTGTCCAACAGTACATACATTTGGGGCTATTGATTTTCTCATAGTTTCAGAACATTGGTCATAGGACCTTGTATAGGACTAAGAATACAGAATATGATTGATAAACATTAATTGATTAATTAACTAATTGAAATATTTTTATTGAATTAACCGTTGTGTTCCAATCATCACATGTATGGAGATTAAATATGTAAACATTTACGTATTCTATTTTCACAATTAATTATTTTAGTGCAAATTAATTGCTATTACACTAAGTACAAATAATACCAACATCTACATTCTAAAATGTAAGTTAATTATTTAAATACTATTCATTTAATTTTAATATCTAAAAAAAATAGGTTTTAAATATTTTTTCAGGATATCAATTTTAATATTTGATACAACTATGAATGTATTAATGGAATTATTAAAATTCAAAAATCAATACGTCGTCATCATTGAACATTTTGTAATATCAAGTAAAATTAATTTATAGTTATAGTTATAGTTATTTGTATAGTTTTTTTTTTTTTTTTTAATTTATTATATTATTTTAAGGTAGTGTTGTAGTGATTAAGTATTTATAAACTAAATAGTTGAATGGATGAATTTTGGTACTAAAAATTTATAACAAATTAATATTTTATGAAAAAAAGTATTTAGCTAGGTATTTTTCATATTTACCTAGATTGTATGTATACATTTTTCCTATAAGTATTAATACTTGTGAATAAAATACTTACCTTTAATGTTACAAAATATTTCACTTAATATTCAAAATTAAAATAAAAAAACTATTATAAAATGCATATTAAAGCATATTAGGTATATAATAATTTATTACCTAACAATATTTTTACATTCTACCTTCTACACTTGAAAAAAATACATCATTCATCCATGTTAGTTTTGAGGTACAATAATAATACATGCATTATTTTTCAGTTTAAGTTACATAATATGTACTTGATGCTTTGGTAATAATGGCTTTATTTATTTGATTTCTAAGTGAATTTTACATTTACACTAATACTCTGCCAATGCAATCCGTTAAGTAAATATTAATATTTGTTTAGTTTTTTGAATAAATATAGTCAAATACTCTCAAAAAATACTGAACTATATAAATTAAACTAAAAAAAGAATACCTCAAAATAACACTATTTAAA